ATACATATATACACACCACAATTTGTTTATCCATTCATCCACTGGTGGGCACTTAGGTTGTTTCCATCTTTTTTTCTATCATAGGTGTGCATATGTCTATTTGTGTCATTGCTATTAGGTCTCTAAGATGATCTCTAGGAATGAGACTGCTGAGTCATAGGGTACTTACTTCTAGGTTCTAACTTTTTGAGGAAGCACCATACAGTTTTCCATTGTGGTTGTATTACTTATAAGTCCTACCAATAGTACATAGGGGTTCCAGTCTTCCCATAACCTCATCAGCATTTGTTTTGTTGTTTCTCTATCAGTGTCATTTTGGCAGGAGTGAGATGATGCCTCATTCGTAGTTTTGATTTTGCATATCTGCTAGCTAATGTTCACAAGCATCTTCTCATGTGCTTCTTGGCCACTTGGATATCCTCTTTGTTGAAGTGTCTGTTCATTTCCTTTGCTCATTTTTAAATTGGATTGTCATTTTGTTATTGAGTTGTTAAACTTTTCTATATTTTTTAGAGATTCAATTCTTACCCACATATATCATTTCTAAAGGATTTTTTTTTCCAATCTGTAGCTTCTTTCTTTAGTTTTTTGGTGAGTATACATATTTAATTTTCCGTAAGTCTCAGTTATCTAATTTATCTTCTGTTGCTTGTGCATTTGTGGTTATATTTGGTACTAAAACTGAAAATAATTAGGTCCCATAATTTTGCCCTATGTTATTTTCTAGGAACTTCAGTTTTAGTTTTAGTATTTAGGTCTTTTATCCATTTTTTGCTAGTTTTTGTATATAGTGTTAAGTATGGATCTTATTTTATTTTTCTGCAAATATCTAGTTTTGTCAGCACCATTTATTAGACCTTTTATTTCCACTGAATGGACTTTGACTTCTTATATAAAATCATAGATACCCATAGATGAATGGATTTGTTTCTGGGTTGTAGCAATAGTTTTTTATTTTTCAAAGCACTTTGGAATATTTTTCTTAATGGATTATATTTCCAAATGCTTTGTATTATTTCTAAGTTTTAAGATATTTCCTTTTTATTTATTTATATATATTTTTGCTAAGCTTTCAAAACCTAATCATAATAGCAGAAACAAAATAATGTATTTTTATCAATAGTACACATAGAATTATGTCCTAAAAATTGTATTATATGTGTTTTTCCTAGAGTGCATATGCTATTGGTTAATTGAAAGCATAGAGAGACCCCAAAAATATCACTAATCAATAATTCAAAATTCTCTTGGATTCCTGTTTTTCTGTTATAGTAATTGTTTTTTGTTTTTAATTCCTGTTTTTAAGGATTTTATAAGTTTTAAAGTTTCAGTTATTCTGAATTCTATGCCTTTACCTTTTCGGCTTATACAGGCTAGAAGAAATAACAAAGGAAGGTTACTAGTACTAGTTTCCAGTAAGTCATTTCCAACTCATGGTGACCAGGTGTGTGTCAGAGTAGGACTGTGCTCCATGGAGTTTTCAGTGATTGATTTTAGGGGGAGTTGGTTGCCAGACCTTTTTTCTGAGGTACCACTGGTTGGATTTTTAACCTCTAGCTTTCTAGTTAGCAGCTAAATGTGTTAATCATTTGCATCACCCAGGGACTCCAAAAGAAGGATAGAGACCCTTGTAAAAAATTAAAGCGTGTCAGTGTAACTAAGCAACTGTGTGTGAGGGAGAGAAAGGGAGAGTAGGTGACAGAGAGAGAGAAAAAAATATCATTTAGTGGACCTAAGAGAAAATTAATATCCATTTCCTTTTTATGAAGTTGTCACTGAACATTTACTTTGGAAAGACTAAATTATTTTAACTAAACAGATGATAATCTTTTCATCTTTAGTGAAAAATCAGAAATAGCTTGTTAAAGAAAAGGTGTAGTAGGGGAATTATTATAAACAACTTAGCATAGTCAGGGCTGATGCAAAATGATTGAATTTTTTCAGAAAAAAAAGTAATGTTTTTTCACAGTTGTTCATGTTGTCCAAATTAATTTGCATTTTTAAAATTAGAATTTCTAACTTTGGTCTTAATTAAATACTTAGTCTCAGAATCATTTCCTGGCCTCTCCCACAAAATATGAAATATGGAAAATTGAGTATCATTTCTCCAAAACTTACCTTCCATTCTTCTTTTTCTATCTTCAAAATAATTCTCCCATCTTCCACAGTAACCTTTTCTCTTAGCTTGGTTAAGCTAACTCTCTCTTCCCAGATGCGCACTAGCCTAGAAGACCAGGAAATCATCTTAGTTCGTAGTTAATGAGATAAATAGAATTTGCTTTTTATATGACCTGTGAAAGACAGCCACTTGATCAGTGGTATCTGGAAGTTAGACAAGAATTTATGGGCAGGAATTATATATTTGATTAGTACCACAATGCCATTATTTGTAAGTTTTTGAAACCAGCTATAACTCGCCATAGGTTTTTTTTTTTTGGTAACACCTTTGTTGAAGTATAATTCACATAGCATAAAATTCATCCCTTCAAAGTAAGCAATTCAGTGGTTTTTGGTAAATTCACAGAGTTCTGCAGTTATTACCAGTATCTAATTCCAAATAATTTTTATGAGATACAAAAAAAAGTCCATACGTACTAACAGTCAGCCCTCAATTTTTCTTCCTCCAATTCCTGGTTACCACTAACCTACTTTCTATCTCTAAGGATATACCTAGTCTATGGATTTCATATAAATGGAATCATACAATATGTAGTCTTTTGCATCTGGCTTCTTTCACCTAACATAAGGTTTTTAAGATTCATCCATTCTATAATATGTATTAGTGCTTCATTCTCTTTTATGGCCAACAAATATATCATTGTATGGATAGGATACATTTTACTTATACATTTGTCTGTTGGTGAATATTTGGGTTGCTTCTAGTTCTTGGCTCTTAAGAACATGGTGATTCTATGTTTAACTTTTTTTGAAACTGTCAAATTGCTTCCAAATTGACAATGCCAATTTACATTCCCACCAGCAATATATGAGGAGTCCTGGTGTGGAGCTGTGGGATAAAACACTGAACCACAAGGTTGATTGAACCACAAGGTCAGTGGTTCAAACTCATCAGCCGCTCCTTGGAAACCCTATACATGGTTGCTTTGAGTCAGAATCAACTCAATTGCCCTTAACAACAACAAAGCAATCTATGAGGCCTCCAATTTCTATACATCTCCATCAATATTTGTTATTGTCCATCTTTTTTATTATAGCCATCCTAATGAGTGACAGCATCAATGGACTCAAGCGTGGCAACAATTGTGATGTTGGCCCAGGATCGGGCAGTGTTTCCTTCTGTTGTGCATATGGTTGCTATGAGTCTGTACTGACCTGATGTCACCTAATAACAACAATGAGTACGAAATGATATCTCATTGTGATTTTGCATTTCCCTGGTGCTAATCCACCATTTGTCTGTCAGTTTGTCATACTGTGGTGCTTGTGTGGTGCTGTGATACTGGAAACTATATCACTGGTATTTTAAATACCTGGTGGACAGGTTTCAGCGGAACTTCTATATTAAGACAGACTAAGAAGAAGTATGGAGTCCTGGTGTGGCACTGTGGGTAAATGTGCCAGACTGCAAAGCCATTTGAAGTGCAAGGTTGGTGGTTCAAGCTCACCAGCTGCTCCTCAGAAACCCTATACAGGGTCGCTATGGGTCGGAACCGACTTGATGGCACTTAACAACAACAACAACAACAGGAAGAAGGAGAAGGGGACCACTTCTGAAGAGTCTGTCACTGAAAACCTTATAAATAGCAGCAGAGCATTGTCTAATATAGTGCCCAAAGAGGAGCCACTCAAGTTGGAAGGAATTCAAAATACAACTGGGAAAGAACTTCCTCCTCAAAGTAGAGTTGACCTTAATGACATGGATAGAGCAAAGTGCTTGAGACCTTCATTTGCTGATGGAGCAAAACTCAAAATGAAAAACAGCTGTGAACACATCCATTAATAATTGAAAATTGGAATTTACAAAGTAGTAATATAGGAAAATTGGAAGACATCAAAAATGAAATGAAACACATAAAGATTGATATCCTAGGCATTAGTGAGCTGAAAATGATCAGTATTGGCCATTTTGTATCAGACATTCATAAAGTTTACTATTCCAGGAATGACAAGGTGAAGAGAAAAGCTGTCACATTCATTATCAAAAAGAATGCTTCAAGATCTATACTGAAGTACAATGCTGTCTGTCATAGGATAAAATACATTTGCCTACAAGAAAGATTGGTTAATAGCACTATTATTCAAATTTACACAATAACCACTAAAGCCAGTGAAATTGAAGAATTCTAACAACTTCTTCAGTCTGAACTTGATCAAATATACAATCAAGGTACATTGATAATTACTAATGATTGGAATACAAAAGTTGGAAACACAGAGTAAGCATTGTTGTTAAGTGCTGTTGAGTCGTTTCTGACCCATAGCAACCCTATATAGGGTTTCCAAGGAGCAGCTGGTGAGCTTGAACCACTGACCTTGCAGTTCAAACGATTTTGCAGTCTGACGCGTTAGCTCACAATGCCACACCAGGACTCCAGAATAAGGGTTGGTAATTGGTAAATATGACCGAGGTGAGAGAAATTATGCTGGAGATCACATGATAGAATTTTGCAAGACCAATGACTTATTCATTACAAATACTTTTTTTCAGCAACATAAATGGGAAACATACACATGGACTTCACCAGATGGAAAACACAGGAATCAAATTGACTACATCTGTGGGAAGAAACTATGGAGAAGCTCGCTTTCAACAGTCAAAACAAGGTCAGTGACTAACTGTGGTATAAACCCTCAATTTCTTATATGCAAGTTGAGGCTGAAGCTGAAAAAAGTTAAAATTACAAGAGCCAAAATATGACCTTGAATATATCCCACCTGAATTTAGAGACCATCTCAAGAACAGTTTTGATGCACTATACACTAATGGTTAATGAAGACCAGAAGAGTTGTGGGATGATAGCAAGAACATCATACATGAAGAAAGCAAAAAGTCATTTAAAAAACATGAAATAAAGAAAAGACCAAAATTGATGTCAGAAGAAACTCTGTAATTTGCTCTCCAGTGTAAAGATGCTAAAGTAAATGGAAGAAATGAGGAGGTAAAAGAACTGAACAAAAAATTTCAAAGAGCAATCCCAAAACACAAAGTCAATATTAAAATGTGCAAGGACCTGGAGTTAGAAAATCAAAAGGGAAAAACATGCTCAACATTTCTCAAGCTGAAAGAACTGAAGAAAATTTTCAAGCCTCGAGCTGCAATACTGAAGGATTCTATAGGCAAAATACTGAACGACACACGAAGCAAAAGAAGATGGAAGAAATATATAGAGGCACTTTATCAAAAAGAATAGGTCGATGTTCAGTCATTTCAAGAGGTACCATATGATCAAGAATTGATGGTATTGAAGGAAGAAGTCCAAGCGTACTGAAGGCATTGGTGGAAAACATGGCTCCAGGAATTGATGGAATACAAATTTAAATGTTTCAACAAACTGATGCAGTGCTAGAATCGCTCATTCATCTAGGCCAAGAAATTTCGAAGACAGCTACCTGGCCAAGTGTTGGGAAGACATCCATATTTGTGACCATTCAAAGAAAGGTGACCCAGTGGAATGCAGAAGTCATCAATAAATATTAGTAATATAACATGCAAGTAAAAATTTTTTGCAGATAATTCATAATCATTGTAGCAGTACATCAACTGAGAGCTACCAGAAATGAAAGTCAGAAGAAAACATGGAACAATGGACACCATTGCTGATGTCAGATGGATCTTGACTGAAAGCACAGAATACCAGAAAGAAGTTTACTTGTGTTTTACTGACTGTATAAAGGCATTCATTTGACTGTGTGGATCATAATGAACTATAGATAGATAGATAGATAGATAGATAGATAGATAGATAGATAGATAGATAGATAGATAGCATTCAAAAGAATGGGTATTCCAGGGCATTTCATCATGCTTATGAGAAACCTGTACATGATCAAAAGGTAGTCATTACAACAGAACAAGGGGATACTGAATGGTTTAAAATCAGGAAAGGTGTATGCCAGGGTTGTATCCTTTCACCATATTTATTCAATATGTATGTTGAGTAAATAATCCAAGAAGCTGGATTAGAAGAAGAATAACATAGCACCAGTATTGGAGGGAGACTCATTAACAATCTGAAATATGCAAAGGCTAAAACCTTGCTTGCTAGACGCTAAGAGGACTTGAAATACTTATTATGAACATCAAAGACGACAGCCTTTAGTATAGATTACACTTCAATGAAAAGAAAAGAAAATTCCTCACAACCAGACCAGTGAATAACACCAGGATAAATGGAGAAAGGAATGAAGTTGTCAAATACTTCATTTTGCTTGGATCAACTATCAACACTCATGGAAGTAGCAGTCAAGAATCCAAACAACATATTGCATTAGGCAAATTGCTAAAATTAAAAGCAAAGATGTCATGAGGACTAAGGTTTGCCCTACCCAAGCCATGGTATTTTCAATAGCCTCATATGCATGTGAAAGTTGGACAATGAATAAGGAAGACCATAGAAGAATTGATGCACTTGAGTTATGGTGTTGGAGGAGAATATTAAAAGTACCATGGACTGTCAGAAGCACAAACAATTCTTAGAAGTATAGCCAGAATGTTCCTTAAGAAACCAAGATGGCAAGGTTTTGCCTCTTATACTTCGGATATGTTGTCAGGAGGGACCAGTCCCTGGAGAAGGTCATTATGCTTGGAAACGTGAAGGATCAGAAAAACAGAAGAAGGCTTCCAATGAAATGGATTGACACAGTGGCAGCAACAATGGCTCAAATATAACAATTGTGAGGATGGTGAAGGACTGGGCAGTGTTTCCTTCTATTGTGCACAGGGTCACTATGGATCGCAAGTGAGTTGACAGCACCTAACAAAAACAACAACAACAACAAGTAAGTGATTTCATGGCCCTCTAATAAACACATTCAACTTCAGAGTTAAAATTTATATTACCACATTCCAAACTGGACTTTGTTTTTCACATATAAAAAATGACTATAAAATCTTAGTTATTCTGAGGCATGTCTCTACTGATTTTTGATCTGTTGAAAACTTAGATGAAAATAATATCAAGCTATAAAAATAACAAAAGATTTTATTTCTAGCTTAGGAAATATTTTGTGTATAGTTAATAGAGAAAACGAAATTTAAAATTGAATTTGTGCTATTTTAGCCCATTAGAATGATAAATAATGTCAACAAAAGTAGCCATCAAAAACATTTTATTTATTTACTAGTTTTAACTAAGTTATTGAGTGTCATCGAGTCTGTTCCGACTCATAGTGACCCTGTACAGGGTTTCCAAGAAGTGGCTGGTGGGTTTGAATACAGACCTTGAGGTTAACAGTTCAGTACTTATCCTCCAGGGCCACACCAGGAGTGTGGTACTGTGGGATAAAGCACTGGACTGTAAGGTCAATATGAAACACAAGGTTGGTGGTTCAAACTCACCAGCCGCTCCTTGGAAACCAACTCAACAGCATTTAACAACAACAGTTACATCTAGGTGCTTAATAAATGCTCTACTTTATAATAATGATGTTATCAATTCTCATTAATAAGCAAGTTATAACAAACTTCTGTTGAAAGTCTTTCTGTAGCTTCAGATCTTCATTTTGTTTTTGAATTCTTTTTTCCCAGACTTCTTTTACAGCATTGACGGCTCCTGTATGAACTGCATTTTCTGTCATGATTTCTCCACATTGCCACAGAGTCACCAGCTGCATTCAGTTCTGAATGTCTGAATCACAGACACCGTCTAAAAAGGACCTAATGGAAGCAGAAGAAGAAAAGAAAGCATTTTCAGAAGTTCTTTGAATATTTTATATTTAGCTATTGTGCACACTCTCTATATTCCCAAATCTATATAAGTACTCTAAATGCCATATCTCACTTAATAATCCTCATAATTGGTACTTAAAGATGAGAAATAGCACAGTGGATTTGTAGGATAAGCATGGGACTTGTAACTACAAAATTGGCAGTTCAAGCCCATCAGCCACTTGTATGACACTTTCTGCTCCTACAAAGATTTAAAGCCTCAGAAACCCGATATGGGGTTGCAATGAGTTGGAACCAACTCAATGGCTCTTAACAATAGATGAGAAAGAAGATGAGCAATTTGCTTAAGGTCTCACATCTAATATGTGGCAGAGGTGGGACTTAATGTCAAGGCTACTTCCTTCCTTACTGTGTAATTCTCAGTATTGAAAACTACAACCACTCTAAATAACCAATTACAGGAAAATTGTTAACTAATGAGTATATACAATAGACTGACATCTGGATTCTATAAGCAAAAGTTGGAATTCAATTAAATGATAATATATGGGGATTGTTTGGTTTTCTGTAAAAAAATAAATAGAAAATGGACAGATGCAGTATTGAAGATTGTAACCTGAATCTTAGAAATGAGAGAAAAATATACAGTAATAGTGGAAGGGTTATATAAATTTTGTTGGTTCTCTAGATGAAATGATTTGCAGTCATTACAAATGGTGGTCTTGACTTTTTTTTTTAACCAAACTAGATTAGCAATAAAAATACTACTTGTATTATTGTCGCCTAAATTCAGGAAGATGGAAGTTTTCACAATCATTACTTCTTTTTCTTTTCCCCCTATCATTTTGGAGGGTTAATTCATTTTATATCAGTCAAACTTTTTTCTTCAAAACCACATAGTTATGTAAAACTGGTGCTCTCCCATGTAAACTATCACTCAATTCACAATAAAAACTTAAAATAAAAAATTTTAAACCCCCACATAGTTAAATAATGTTCCATAACAAATTTCTTACCTCTAAATAAAAGCATTTATATGATGTGTTAAACATGTACTGGTTTTAAAAATCACACTCCACCCACAATATTAGTTAGAATAACCCACAGATTTAAACATAAGGGGTCTGAAAAGTATCCATTTTTCAAATGATAATCTGCAAATTCTGTTTATGTCTGTTTAAAAAAGGCGAAGGGTACTTGAATCATCTGAAGCACATTTTATAAAATGTGTAATGGAAAACAAAGAAAAAGGCTATTAGATTACAGTATTTCATTGGCAGGAGTGAATGTTAATTGCCTCTTAGAACCTTCAATGAAATCTAATTGCTGGCTTGGGCTGTCACCACTGACCCCGTAACAGACTAGTACACCCTTCATAAACATAATTTGGCATAATCCCCCTTCATTATGGTTATTATAGCCCACAATAAGACACATCTGCACAAAAATAAACTCTTCAGGCTCTCCTCTAAATAGATGTGTTACTTCTTCAGGGCAGAGCAAGTATTGCTGATGGCAGAATCATCCTTACAACAAGTGGTACCAGTTGACAGCCCAAGTTTACTTCCAAACTTAGACTCACACACCATACAGAATCCATGAACACACTACATGGTAATGGAATTGTGTGGGAAGCACAGCACTAACTAAATAACTACCATCAATAGAAAGAAAGAGTTTCTTGAAACAAACCATGGTTCTGAATTAGGAAATCCGTATGTATACATTACAGTCTAAATGTCAGATATTGATCCCAAGAGTTTAATTCAGACATGCTTTAAATATATATTTTGTTGTTGTTGTTGTATGCCGTGGAGTCGGTTCCGACTCATAGCGACCCTGCATAGGGTTTCCGAGGCTGTTAATCTTTACAGGAGCAGAACGCTTCATCTTTCTCCCACGGAGCAGCTATATATATATAGCTTAGCTTTTATTGTGAATTGAGTGATAGTTTACAGGACACAGCATCAGTTTTGCTCAATCATTACTTCTTATACTGGAGTGCTATAATGAAAGGAAAACAAACTTTGTAATGGAAGAAGTGCTTGGAGCTGCATAGGAAAATGATGTTGTTGCTGTAAGTGCTGTTGAGTCTGTTCTGACTCATAGTGGCCATGTACAGGGTTTATGAGGAGCAGCTGGGGGGTTCAAACTGCCCACCTAGAGGTTAGCAGTCCAGGGCTTGTCTTACAGAGCTACACCAGGACTCGAACATAGGAGAATTTTTTCTTGTTCTTAAGTGCTGTGGAGTCAGTTCTGACTCAAAGCAACCTTGTATAGGGTTTCAGAGGCTCTAAATCTTCACAGCAACAGAAAGCCTCATCTTTCTGCCACAAAGCAGTTGGTGGGCTCAAACCGCAGACCTTGTGGTTCGCAGTTCAGTGATTATCAGTTGGAGCCGCCACGCATAGTATAGAAGACCAGGTACTCTCATTTAATAATGACAACAGTATACGTTGGTATATTCTTTATGGAGAGAACTTTGGAAATAGCTATTAAAATCACAAATGCACATTCATTTACACTAGGAATTTACATTGCAAATATTTTCACATGTAAAATGACTCATTGCAAAGTTATTTATTGCAGGATTTATGTAACAGCAAAAAATTGGAAACAACCAATTTTCCCATTGGTGAAATATAGTACACTCGTTGTTGTATGTTGTCGAGTCAGTGCCAACTAACAGCAACCCTGTATAGGATTTCCGAGGAGCTGCTGGTGGGTTTGAACTGCCAGTCTTGTGATTAGCAGTCTAGTGCTTATTCTACAAGACCATACCAGGCCCTCTACCATGGGAACTTAGCTCCAAAGAAGGAAATGTTTTATATATTGACATACCATCATTTCCAAAACGTATGATTTGCCAATATTTACTTCTGCATTCTAAGGAGTTTGTAGTTTTGAATCCCAGATTTTTGCTATTAGGAAAAATATTGTTTGTTTTTGTTTATTATTATTATTATCTCTTGGTACTGAAGTGGAAAAGTTCTATTGGGAATACGAGGATAAAAGTCCAAAAGTATTGCTACTAGAAGACTTCTAGCAAATTGGCTGACTAGGCAGATGCACTATACAGACCCTCTATAACAAAGATACGACAGACCAAATGAAACAGACACAGAAGAAAATCCTGGAACCCTGAACTTCAGAGGAAAGGTTAGAAAATTGGAGTGTATGAATGCTGGGAGGAGAAGCTGAGCATGGACAGTGAGAGAGGGAGGCAGATTGTTGACAGGCCTGGGAGACACGATGCAGTCATGTTTGGCAACGAAAGGTGGCCTGGCAGAGCAGATTCACACATGAGCTGGGAAAGGTGTGATTCCTTCATTTCCCCCACACACTCCTGGTAACCAGAGGTGTGGTCAAAACCCACCCTCATCCACTCTGAGCTTAGACCCTGCTCTCTAGTTCACAGCCATGTGTTCGGGAGCTGTGCCAGTGTGAGGTAGAGACCAGCTGTACCACTTCAGTGTGATGCTTTGGTGCCTGGATTCAGGCTGGCTCAGCTCCAGAACTACAGAACCCGCAGAGCCACCAGACCAGCATTTAACTAGTCACACTGCCACCAGCTTCCCTGTGGTCCAGACACTGAAACCAGCTCCATCAAAGGCATCCAGGAATTACTTCCATGCTTTGTGCCCTGAGCATAGATAAGGAGGCCATTAGGAACTCTAAGTAGGGACAGGAGCTCTACTGTCACATCCCTCCCACACCCACCTCATGAGCTCCTGGGCTTGCAGGAAGCCTTCAGAATTTTCACCTTTCCAGGTCCAACAGCTACACTGTATTTTTATTTTTGTTTTGGGGTTTGCCTTTTTCCTTTTCTTGTTTCATTGTTTTTGTTTATTTTTCTTCTTCTTTTTCCATTCCCTTGAATTTTATCCTTTTGATTTCTACTGTTGTCTTTTTCCTTCTGTTTCCCATTTCCACTCTTCTTTCCCACCCCCTTTTGATCTTTCTTTACTACTCTCTTTGTCTTTTCATCTTACCTCTCCTTGGCTTTTCTAAGTGGTTTTTTATTTTTTTTTAAGATGTTTTATACATAATTTTATTATGAATATTTTCAGTCATATATAAAACATAGAGATAGTTCATTGTACCCAATATTCACTGTCAGTAATTCTCAATATTTTACCAAAATGTTACACTATAGTACTACAAACACTAGGGGAAAGACTAGATGTATAGCTCTGAATTGTTGTTATGACATGCTGTTGAGTACGTTCTGATTCATACAGACTCATATGTGTACAACAGAAGGAAGCATGGCACCGTTCTTAGAATGGTTGCTATGTTTGAACCCACTGTTTCTGCCCCTGTTTAAGTCTGTCTCATTGAGAGGTTTCCTGTGTTTTGTTGACTCTGTCCTTTTCCTTGCTTGTCCAAAGTTTGTGGGATGAAGTCTCACCATTCTTATTGCTAAGGAACATTCTGGTTGTACTTAATTCAAGATAGATCAGTTAATTCTTCTGAAAGTCTGTGGTATATTCAATATTCTTTGCCAACGCCATACTTCAAATACATCCATTCTTGTTTGATCTTATTTAGCGTTCACCTTTCCCATGCATGTGAGATGACTGGATCGGGCTGTGAATTATATCTAGTGCTTATTTACTGTTACTTGTTTTCAACATTGTTTTTTTTCTAACATACTAATGCTGACGGGCACTCAATTTTAATAAATACTCATACTGTTTCTGGAGTATATTACTAAAGTTTCTAATGCTGTTAGTACATTAAGTCAAATCTCAGTAGGTGTTTTCTAAGGGAAAACAAAATACACATAAATTATGTTTTTATGATAATTCTTGTTGGAAGAAAGAAATGGAATATATCTATGTGTGTGTTGTTGTTGTTAAGTACTATAAGGTACTGTTGAGTCAGTTCTGATTAAGAGTAAACCTGTATAACGTTTACTGGTGGGTTTGAACTGCCGACCCTATGTTTAGCAGCCCAGCGTTTATCCTACAGAGCCACACCAGATCTC